GAAGACCTCATGAAGTAAAACATCTGGTAATTAAAATAAGACATCTGGTAATTAAATAGATATGTATACTCGATTTGCTTGGCAGCAATACAGTTTGCCAATGGATTATTATTTCAATATTTATTTGTTTGTTTGTTTGTTTGTTTGTTTATTTATTTTAGTTTGGCTCTATCATATTTCCCAAGGATTCATGGCAGTGCACAATTAAAATTAAAACTCACTATCAAAATTCAATCAATCAACATAATAAATCAAAACCAAGAAAAGCATACATCAACAATAGGATTAAAGCAAATATAAAAATGCATCCAAGTATCACATATCAGTTCCCAAATTATCCTTTGAATAGCTAATCTAGCCTAAAGATTAAGGACTTCTTAATGATTTATTATTGCTGTAGAGGTATTTGTTGGCATGCTAAGTATTTGCTGGCATGCTAAGAAGGAATGTTGGGCCCACCATTCTATCTTCCAGCATGCCTACTGAACTCCAGGTCCAGTTGGGCATCTGTAGAAGACAGAACTGACCTGAAAATGAGTAGCCTCAGTGTTCAACTTTTGGAGGGCACAGAATATCCAGTTCATGATCTATCTGTCTTCTGTCTGTCATATACACACAAATATGTCTTTGTAAGTATTGTGGACCAAAACACTATGTCCATATGAAGTGCTGGAAAAGGAAGATAAATGTATATTTTAGAGAAATCAGTGTAAAGGTCTGTTACTGTATGTGGTTGTTTTATTACAGTAGCATTTTTTTAAATGGTTTTGCTGCAATTCTGAAAATCCTGGATTTTAGTGAAATGAAAACATGATACATTCACCCCTCAAGTAATTGTCTTGACAGAAGAGATTTGCATGAAATGATATATGAAGAAAAATGTTGGCTGTTCTCCGAGCTGGGTTTGTGGTTGCCAATATTTCTTTACTAGGTAATATCATCAATGTAGTTTGGAAGTTCTGTGATATATTTGTATTAGATAATCCTTTGAGCTCAGTCCAGAAAACACAATCTGAAAATAAGTCCCTCTGTTGGGATGTGAAATTGGGCAATGCATTTGTTTGCAGTAGGAGCACACACTCTACTTGCCTCTGCTTTCACCTTATAGAGCAGGGATGTCCAATATTGGCAACTTAAAGACTTGTGGACTTCAACTCCCAGAATTCCCCAACCAGAATGGGAATTGAAGTCTACAAGTCATAAAGTTGCCAACATTGGACACCCTTCTTCTAGAGCAGGGCTTTTCAACCGTATCACCCATTGTACCACTTTTAGGATATGGCAGGGGTAGGCAACCCAAAATACTCAAAGAGCCACTTGGACCCGTTTCCCACTGAAAACAAAACACAGGGAGCCGCAAAACCCTTTGGATATCTCAAATGAAGATAAGACTGCATATATCCATATATATATGGATATATGCAGTCTTATCTTCATTTGAGATGTCAAAAGGATCTCTCTCTCTCTCCCCCTCTCCCCCTCCCTCTTTCTGCCCTTGGTCTGCTAGTCTTCTTCCCCCTGTGTGTGTGTGAGAGAGAGAGGGGAGGGCACTTGCGCTTCCCCCCTTTCTCTCTTTCCTCTCCCTCTTTCTTCTCTCCCTTTCTTTCCTCTCCCTCCCTTTCTCTTTCCTCTTTCTTCTCCTTTTCTCTTTACTCTTTCTCCCTCTTTCTATTTACTCTCTCCCCTTCCTCTCCCTTTCCCTTTCTTTCCTTCCTCTTTCTCCCTTTCTTTCCTTTCTCCCTTTCTCTCCTCTTTCCTTTCTTTCCTCTCTCTCCTTTTTCTTTTCTCTCTTTCCCCCTTTCTATGTCTTTCCCCCCTCTCCCTCCCCTTCTTTCATCTCCCTTTCTTTTCTTTCTCCCTCTTTCCTTTCCCTTTCTTTTCTTCCTCTTTCCCCCTTTCTATTTCTTTCCTCTCCTCCTCTCCCTTTCTTTCATCTCCCTTTCTCTCTCTCCCTTTCTTTCCTCTTTCCTCTCTCCCCTCCCTTTCTTTCCTCTCCCTTTCTTTTCTTTCTTCTTTTCCTTTCTCCCTTTCTTTCCTGTCTCCCTTTCTATTTCTTTCCTCTCCCTCACCTTCTTTCATCTCCCTTTCTCTTTTCTCTTTCTCCCTTCCTTTCCTCTTTCCTCTCTCTCCCCCTCCCCCTTTCTCTTTCCTTTCCCTTTCTCTTTTCTTCCTTTCTTTCTTTCCTTTCTCCCTTTCTATTTCTTTCCTCTCTCCCCCCTCTCCCTTTCTTTCATCTCCCTTTCTCTTTCTCGCTTTCTTTCTTTCCTCTTTCCTTTCTTTCCTCTCTCCCCCTCCCTCTTTCTCTTTCCCCTCCCTTTCCTCTCTCCCTTTCCTCTACCTCCCTTTCTCTTTCCTGTTTCTTCTCCCTTTCTCTTTCCTCTCTTTCTCCCTTTTTCCTCTTTCCTCTCTCCCCCTTTCCTCTCCCTCTCCCTTTCTTCCTTTCTCTCCTTTCCTTTTTCTTTCCTTTCCTCTTTCCTTTCCTCTCCCCCTCTCCCTTTCTCTCCTCTTTCCTTTCCTCTTTCTCCCTTTCCTCCCTTTCTCCCTCTTTCTCTTTCCTCTCTCTCCCCCTCTCCCTTTCTTTCATCTCCCTTTCTTTCTTCCTCTTTCTCTTTCTTTCCTTTCTCCCTTTCCTCTTTCTCTTTCCTCTCTCTCCCCCTCTCACTTCCTCTTTTCTCTCTCCCCCCTCCCTTTCATCTCCCTTTCTCTTTCTCCCTCTTTCTCTTTCTTTCCTTTCTCTCCCCTCTCCCTCTCTCTTTCCTCTCCCTTTCTCTTTGTTCCTCTTTCCTCTTTCTCTTTCTTTCCTCCCTCTTTCCTCTCTCTCTCTCTCCCTCTCTTTTTCTCTTCACCTCCCCCCCTTTACTAACAGAACCAGTTCACCTACCAAAACGTTTAACTTCCTCCTTTAGAGATGGGCAATGTGGATTCACCACATTCTGACCAAGAGAAATGCCAGCACCTCTCATCAATTCTGCTGCAGGGACAGCAAACGCTGTATGTTAGCAATATCTGGAGAGCTACAGTTCATCCGCACCTTCCTGAAAGGCTGTTCCATCCGTTGCAATCTCACGCTTTGAAAGGCCCCTCCCCCTCCTCCGCTTCAAGCCGACTGCATCCAGCAGGGAGCCTCAGTAGCCGGCGCGGAAGAGAGCAGGGGAGGAAAAAAGACAGACCATCTCCTCGCAGCTCACTTCCAATCCCAAAGTGGTGAATCCTGCTTGGGATTTGGGACTGAGAGGGGGGAAATCCTGGCTCCTAAGTTGCAGGGACTTCCAACCACAGAGCTTGCTCGGCTCTGTTCCCAGCCAGCGCCACGCGTGCGCAAAACAACAGCAACAAAATACTGCGATCGAGACTTACCCGCCTGCCTGGCTCCCGGACCTCGGACCTCGGTAGCAAGCCATTTGAAGCAAGCAGCCTCGTTCGCAGAGAGGAGAGGAGAGAGTGAGGGCGGATGAGCTGAGTTTGTGGCAGGGATAACAAGGGTTCGGGAGAAGCTAGCACGAAAGTTCCGTGTCTTTTGACTTAGCTCGCCTTGTCCCCCACTGGTTCTTTGCCCGAACAAGTCACCCTCTCTCTTTCTCTCTCTTTCCTCTGCCCCCCCTCTCTCCAGATGAGGAGAGAGAGAGAGAGAAAGCAAGGCAGACGGCGCCAAAGGGGCAGGGAGGGGACGGAGGCAGGAGGTGGTAAAAGTCGCTGAAAGGTGCCCGGGACCCCACGGACCAGCCCTGGGAGATGCATGGTGAGCTCGGCTGCCTAGGGAACGGCCTGGGGACAGCCAGGAAGTGATGCCCCCCTGCTGCAGCCTGCCTGGCCCAGGGAGACATATGGCCAGTGAGTGGCCCAGGGACGGCACAGGAAGCAATGTCCCCCTGCCACCCAGCCCGGCCTGGGGAGACGCAGCCACCGCCCCAGCCAGGACTGCCACCTGGCCTGGGCAGACACGTGGCCGGCTCGACGGCCCAGGAAGTGATGTTCCTGCCGCCCCAGCCGGGACTGAAGCCTGGGGGGGGGGCAGCAGGAGGAAGGAGGGGGAGGGGGAGGGGGAGGAGGAGGCTCCAGAGCCGCAGGAGATTGCTCAAAGAGCCGCATGCGGCTCCGGAGCCGCAGGTTGCCGACCCGTGGGATATGGTAACATCCGAGTACCACCAGTCGCCTAGCAAGGTCTCAAAAACTTGATGACCCCCCCCAAAAAAGTGATAAAGTACAGGTAGTACTCGACTTACAACAGTTCACTTAGTGACTGTTTGAAGTTACAATGGCACTGAAAAAAGTGCCCCCCAAGGCACAGCCGAACAAGACACCTGCCTGTGGTGCTCTTCTGTCCGAGGTTTTCATTGTTGTGAGCATTTCTGTTGAGGATTGGCAGCAGGGGTGGGGTGAGTTGTTTTTTATTCCACCCATCTGCTGGGGGGTTGCAGCAAGTTTTGGTCACTTCACAAGACCCTGGGATACTGTGACCGTCATAAATATGAATCAGTTGCCAAGCATCTGAATGTAAATCACAAGACCCTGGAGATGCTGCAACATTCCAGCTGATCCTGGTGCTTCTTCTGGGCTCAGCAGAAGCACCAAGATTAGCGCCAAGCTCCAGCTGGAGCCTGGCGCTGATCCTGGCGCTTCCTGGAGCCCTGACAGCCCTGCAGCTCCAGCCATCTCTCACTCAGGCTTGTGCGGTGCTGCCACCGGTTCAGCTCATTTCCCTTCCCCCGCTACCACTTTTCTAGGATGGTCGCGTACCACCTGCCAGGTACCAATGTACCACAGGTGGTACCCATACCACTGGTTGAAAAGCCCTGTTTTAGAGAGCTTAGGATTCCTATCTTGATTTGCTGCCTTTCTGGATATTAAGATCAACAAGAAAGGTCTCGAAAAGATAATTTCATTTCTCCCTTGTGAGTTGCATTCAGTTAATAAACAGTAATACTGGTTTTGCTCAAGACATTCCTCTTTTACCAGACCTTTTCACTTTGAATTAGTTAACAGATAATGTTAGCTGTTGTTTTTCCACAGCAACTGTTAGCCATCTTGATTGTCCTTTGGGCAGAAAGACAGAGTGCACCTATTTATTACATAGAATCAGCTGTATATCTACATCCATTGGGTAAACTTTCAAACTCTCAGTACTCAGGATTAAATGTTAATTTCCTGGAATAAGATGAAAGAGAAGTAGACTGATTTATCTCCATATGATAATCATACACTAGATCAAAATCTATGGAATAATTCAATGGTTTTATAAAGGTAAAAATCATGAAAAAACAGTGTGATTTAAGTACCTTGAAGGCTAAAGAAATTTTCTTTAATTTTCTCTTTGGGGTACATACTGCCACAATGCAATACCATCGCAATATTGGGGAATGTGAGTCCAATATTCTTAATTTTGGTAGAAAGGAAAGCATGATAATCCATTCTGATTTAGGATTAAATATTGAGATTTCAGCAGTTATTCCTCTGCAGAGAAAGAGATGGCTATATTTTTAACTGACAATGATTTATTTATCTTTGTATTTATACTGTATGTTGTTATATTGGAACACACTTCTTTCTTTTCCCCAAGATTGGGAAACATATTAATTGGGGTGGGTGTACCCCTTATGCAGGCATGTTGCATAGCTTTGATATAACAAAGTAGCTCTCAGAGGACACTGCTCTTTGTTGACAAAGAATCAAGGCAGAGTCAATTTTCCTTAATTGTTCAATTTGCCTTGCAAATCATAGTTTCTGCACATTCACAGAATAGAATATGAATTTACATTCACTGTGAGTGATGTGTCTAATCTGAACCATTGAATAGATGTTGGACATTTCTCAGAGGCATATCAAATAGGCACTTCACTCAAATCTCTATGATTACAAAGTGTCATTTATATGCTTGAATACAGTATTAATATTTAAGCTACTGGATAGGCAAACTGGAGAACCAAAAATACTCAGTATTTTGTTATCTGCTAAGTATATATTCAGTTTTACATTGTGGACAGTATTCTGTGAATTCTCTTTATCCAACGAAATTTGTTGCTAAATAAAGTGATGTTTCACAACTATTTATCTGAAGGCAAGTTAACATCAGTTAGCAATAGCTTAAAATGCAATTATCAAAGCTTTTTATTCAAGGTTAAGCTTACTGACAATGCTACTAATCTCATGTTTATCCTGAGATTTTGCAAATGAGTTGATATAAAGGGTTGAAAGAAACACATACCTGGGATTTTTGTATTCGTTAATTATTTCAAATTCTTCAGCTGGGAGATTTAGCTTAGGCTGTCAAAGGGAAACAAATGAATATTCTTAGAGTTATTTATATTCTTCTGATCTGACTGCTTTGCTACTGTATCACTTATGTCAGGAATGATCTAAATATATCTAACTATGTAAGATTTTAAAGAAAAGCAGGGCCAACTCAGTGACCCGATAATGAACACTATCACAAGGCACACTATCTGTGGGACCATATGCCACTAGAATGTGTGATAGTGCATACAGTAAGAGGTACAAATAATAAACACTGATTTATCATTAAAAAGAAGAAACTTTCCCTTCCATATCCAGACAAAGTGGATCAGAAATGGGCAACATTTTTTATGGCCCTGAGAATACCTCAAGATCCTGAAATTCATTGGTAAATGACTATTTTGAGCAGCAATATTTTCATTGATTTTGAAGAAATTGAGTGCTAACCTTCTCCATCTTTACATCCTCCCTTAGAGAAGAGGAAAATAAATGATAGCATTTGTCCAGTGAAGTCAGTAATTACCACCATATCTCCTATGGACATTTCTTTAAAAGAAAACACTTGTAAAAAATTTACAAATGTAGATGGTGCTGATAAAGATAAATGCAGTTCAGGGCTCTGTATGTTTCAGTGAAGAATGAATTGTGTAGCCAGTATAGTAAAGCCCTGGAATGATGTCCAAACAATATTGACAGACTTATTTCCTATTTACAAATTCAGAATGGAGCTTAAAGGACCTTGGAGGTCTTCTAGTCCAACCTCATAGTCCTTCCTTTCTTTACACTATCCATACCTACCCAGTTCCTGCAACCATTCTTCATATATTTTAGTCTCCAGGCCTTAATCATCTTAGTTGTTTTTCTCTGCCCTTTTTCAAACTCTCAACATCTTTTTTGTAATGTGGTGATCAAAATTGGATGCAGTATTCCAGTTGTGGTCTTACTAAGGCTTTATAAAGCGGTATTAATACTTCACGTGATTTTGATTCTATGCCTCTATACAATCAAGAATTGTATTAGCTTTTTTGGCTGCTGCCACACACTGCTGACTCATGTTTAAGTGATCGTCCACTAGGATTCCACAGTCCCTCTCAAAGTTACTGTTTTTGAGTATAATCTGTATTTGTACCTTTGTTTTTTCCGGTCTAAGTGTAAAATCACCACATTAAATTTCATGTTGTTGGATAGGGCCTATTTTTCAAGTTTGTCAAGATCCTTTTGGATCCTAACCTTGTCTTCTGGGATGTTGGCTATTCTTGCCAGTTTAGTGTTATCTGCAAATTTGATGAGTCATTTATGAAGATATTGAAGAGTACTGGGCCTAAGATGGAGCCTTGTGGTACTCCATTGCTTACTTCCCTCCATTAGATATAGCACCATTAAGCACTACTCATTGAGTACAGTTTGTCAGCCAGTTACAAATCCATCTGGTGTGATACTGTCTATCCCACATTTTTCTAACTTACCAAGAAGTAGATTGTGGTCTATTTTGTCAAATGCCTTACTATGTCCACAGCATTTCACTGGTCTACTAATTTAACCACTTTGTCAAAGAATGAAATAAGATTGGTCTGGCATGATCTGTTTTTAACCAAACCCATGCTGGCTTCTAGTTATAACTTAATTTGTTTCTAGATGTTTGTAGATCTGGTTTTTTATTATCTTTCTCAGTATCTTTCCAGGTCACATTTCCAGAAAAATGTCAGCCAAATTTTATCTTTCCAGTAAAATTTACATTTTACTATAGCACTGTAATATCTTCACAAAATCTATAACCCTAACCCTAACCCTAACCTTTGGCTCCATTATGTTGTCCTCATCTTGACCCCAGCCCATGAAAGATTCAATATTAACTCATCATTAAACATAAAGTCATGCTTTCTCCTTATGCCCTCACATTAGAGCTACAAAATGTATACAATGCGTAACATTTTGCTACCCATTAATGTGGAGTTGAGATCAGATGATCCAAGGTATTAATTTGATTGTTGGGAAGCACAGAGAGGACTCTTTCCTCAAGATATATATGTATGTAAGTCAGTATACATGCATTTATTTATTATACATACCAGAGTCCTTTCTTTCCCTGTCTAGTTTTCCCTATAGATCTTTTATTTCCAGGATTCCTTTCATACCATTACACTCCTTCTCTTTTTTTGACATCAACAATGTCAAAAATAGAGAATGGATTACTATTATTTGGGGAGGAGGGAAAAGACAAAGAATAGGATGTTTGTGCTAATCCACCGAACAGCTGTCATGCTTGATTCAGCCTAATGACTATATAGAGTTAGGTTTCCTATGCTCTCAGGGCCTTATTTTGGAATTTGCTTACTCAGCAGTAAATGCCTGTATATGACTTGGCTAATTTAAATGCTTTATTGCGACCAAAATCAAAGCCAGTTATGAAAAGAGATCTGCCTACTGTACTAAACAGCAGTCGGAGCTCATATATCTGGCAGTCAGTAGTCAGATGATTTCCTCACCCACCTGTTCCTGTGCATGGATAGTTGGCTATTTCTTTCACATTCCCTTTATCCTTAGTTGCAGCAGCCCTTCTCTTCTTTATTGCAATGTGCAGAGATTAATACCAGAAGCTGAACTGAGCTTTTACTGTTCACTTGCCAGTTTGCCTCTATTTTTAAATTTCAACCATTCCTTGGTTCCCCATTAGGGAGACAATTGCCTAACAGTTACCCCGTTTTGTTTATCCTGCTCTACAGAACTAACTAGTTGCACAATTATAGCAAAGTTTGCCTTCCTCTTCTCTGGTGCTATTTCTGCTCTCGTGCCTGTAATGTATTAATTGTTGTCAGTTAAGAGCCAGACTTGCTGTCTACATGCTAATTATCTTGTGTTAAAGCAGGAACTAATATTTTAATCCTATTGGCTGCCACCTAGTTGTTGAGTGTATAAATAAGGGTGGAGCTGCAGTTATCCTGGCTTCTGTTTTAAACCTGCAATAAAGAGCTGTTTGTTCACCTACTGCCTCCTCAATGCCTCACCGAACACCAAACATAACAGCGCCTTCCCATGTAACTTTTTTTAAAAAACATATTTTACCTTAGGATGCTCAACTGGGATCTGACAGGGAGGGGGGAGAGGAACATAAAGGTCAGCCAAGAGAAAATAGCAAGAATCCTGAAGTTAGATTGACCGTATTTCTGCTGCAGGACCTTGATTGATGGACTATGCTGAAAAGGAACTGCAGCAAAGCCAGAAGAGAAAAACAGCAATCTTATCTATAATTAATTGACACAAAATAATACTGTTTAGCAGTGATTTTAAGCACATGCAACAGAGGTAAGACAGGGACTGTAAAAGAGTGATAGCATATTTTATGCCAACATAGTTTTGTGCTGAGTCAAGGCTGGGTAGTAGCATTTTAACTTGGTAGTGGGGGAAATCCTTAGTAGTAATGTCCATCCATTTGACTTTTTTCCTTCTTTATATATTACTTAATGGCCATTCTAGAGATCTTTCAGATCCTCTCAAAATCTGCTCAGGTCTGTCTTACCATCTTTTGCAGAAAAAATTGAGTGTATAGGATGCTGCTGGGGGGAAAAATGAGAAAAAGGACCAAAGTGACACCATGTCTGTCTGTGGATGAATAGTCACTATATTGGATTGGTATTTTGAATTTTTGATTTTAAGTTTCAGTACATTATGTTGATAGTAGCTAAGATGGTATAAATATTTATATTCTCTATTATGTATTCTGGCACATATTTTCTTAGGAAAAATGTCAATGCACAAGCTAGACATGAGGTAACATACAGTATTCTCCTCTTAGTAATGTACTATGAATACATAGCATAAAACCACTAGAGCTAGCTGCATTACCACAGCTGCAAAGAAAGTATTCTGAAATAACAATGAGCTAGTTACCATCATCTTCTTGCCCTGGGGAAGGCCAGTTTGGTTAAGTGAGCCAAACTTTTTTGTTCTCCAGCCAATTTCTCCTACAAACCAATGCCTGTGCATCCATGGAGGAGGATTACTTGGTGCAGGTCTCCACAAATACTTGGCATCACTAGTGCCCTCCACAGGTGAAGATTTTGATCCTATGTAATGGCAATAATCCAGTACCTTTGGTTGGTAATTACCTGTGCCATCCGGACCTTGAGAATAAAAAATATATAATTATATGGAATGCAAAAGTACTAAAGTTTATTTCATGCTACCTATACACAAGAATCTGAACTACTAACAGTCAAGGTAAATTGGCACCAGATAAGAGTCAATGGACTTTGGGGGGGGGTTGGACTTAGGTCTTCTATGGGACATAAAGATTCCAAACTGATGATCTGTTTGACCCCAACCTCAGGCTCAGCATGGTCATCTCCTATATTAAGGAATTTGGAACTGATAACAAAAAAGTTTGTCTACCATGAGCCTCCCCAACTCATCCAAAAATTTAATAATACAAATAGTTGTCAATAAGAAACACAAAAAAAGTCTGAATAGTGGATATGGCAGTATCTGGAGGTAGCATGATAGAAGAGAAAGAACTGGAAAAGGTAACAAAATACAAAGACCTGCAACTGTGGCAAAGGAAAAAAAGTAACAAAATACAAAGACCTGCAATTGTGGCAAAGGAAAGTATAGATAGTACTTTCCTTGATTGCAATTCCAAATCAAGTTCCTCTCCATTATTTGTACTCTACAACAGGGGTCCCCAACCTGTGGGTCTTGGCCCAGCTATTGGCCACTGGCCATGATGGCTGGCCAGTGTGTGTGTGTGTGTGTGTGTGTGTGTGTGTGTGTGTGTGTGTGTGTACAGCCCAACTCACGCGAGCGTTGCCACAAGCATAACAGGTGTTCACGGCCCCACTTGTGTGAGCATTGCCATGAGCATTGCAGGCATTCGCGGCCCCACTTGCAGAAACATTATTACAGAAGTTTGTGACCCCATTTGTGCAAGTATCATCATGAGTGTTGCAGGTGTTTGCGGCCTAACTCATGCGAGTGTCACCATGGGCATTTGCGGGCCCACTTGTGAGAGTGTTTGTGACCCCACTTGTGAGCATCACGGATGTTTGTGGCCTCACTCACATGAGCAGCCCCACTCATGTGAGTGTTTGTGGCCCCACTTGCATGAGCATCACTGTGAGCATTGCGGGCGTTTGCTCATGAGAGCGTTGTCACTAGGGTTTGCAGCCCCACTTGTGCGAGCATCATCACAGGTGTTCACAGCCCCACACGGACAAGCGCTCACAGCCTTACATGAGCAATGGGTATTTTGCGTGTGCACATGAATGTGTATGCTTTCACACACCCCCACACAAAACTATTCCTTCTTTCCCCTTCCTTTGGGCTGCCAACCCCGAAAGGTTGGGGAACTCTGCTCTATAAGATGGGAGATTAGGTTCCTGTGCTAAGCACAGCTAAACTTCTGGATTCTTCTACAGCTCACAGTTCATCTCTATATGCAATCAACTTGGTTTTTTAATATTATTCTGAACTAAAATTAATATATCATAGCTAGGGATGGGAAATTTTGGCCTAACGCATTCCATTATTTTGTATTCAGTCCTGGCATTTCAAGGAACTTCACCAATGCAGTAGGAATGAATTCTATGGTGCACGAGCAGCAGAATTGTGGTGTCATGGAAGGGCACACATTATCAGTTATTTCATTTCTTGTTGGTGTGTTTTTATAGTCAGGCAGAAAGGAGGGATTTGTGTGATTAATTATTTTTTTTTTGCCTTATATGATTAGTTTTATATACCATGTATCTTGATCTGATTTGATCTGAAGTTTGGGGCAGTCCAGTCTCAGTAGCAGGAATTCTTGAAGCCAGCAAATACTCCAAACATCTTTTAATATGTTGCCCAAGACCATTGTTTCATCTTTCCTGCTTTAAAGTTATGGGCCCTAATGAAAGATGCAAGTATTTGCTTTCTCATGCTGTTTTCTCTAAGGATTTCTGTTGGTCATAGCCAGAGTTTCAGCATTTATCAGTATCCCATCACTCTTTTTCTAGCAATAACAATAAGATTATGATTAATGTGATGTATAGTTGACATTTTTGTAGGGATATGCATCTATCTATCTATCTATCTATCTATCTATCTATCTATCTATCTATCTATCTATCGCAATAAAAATAGGCAACTACCTGTCTAGTGCTATCATCCAGATGATCACTGGAAGACAGAATACACTGGAATACATAAAACTCTGATCCTTTGCTGACAAGTAGTTTTTGTCCAGATTTTTACAACCCAGATAAGCTAGCCTATTTGTAGTTTCTCAGGTATTCTTGGCTGGCTGTTGTCTGAAAATTGGACAAGATTTGAGACTAATTTCTTTCTTTTGATGACAAATATAAGAGATTAGCCTCACATCTAAAGCTGGAATTTGAGTAATACTTTTAATTTTAATTTTATGTCAACAGAAGTAGGAGTTTTTCCAAATTTGTTTTAAATAAGCTACAGTGGGAGAAATTATGAAAGCATTTGAGATGAACTATTGAATGGAGTTATAGACTGTAGAACTGAATTTTGAAGCATAATATTCTCATATCTGAGAGGCATAGCACAAGTTGACAGGATGCTAACATCAGCATTTTTAGTGGCCACAAAGGATGCTGGAATGCTGTATAAATGCTTGAGAAAATGCAGAAGTGAAGATGTATCATTTGGGAACCCAGAAAAATTGGAGAATAGAAATCTGAAAGGGGAAATGGATTTTTCATTCCATGGATGAGAATAATACACTGCACTATAACTCACTGATTAAATATATTAAGGTGACCAACCGTCCTCCTTTTGTGAGGACAGTCCTCCTTTTGTGAGTTCTATCCTCCCTCAAAAAGTGTCCTTCTAAATGTCCTCTTTTTCTATATTTGAAGACTAATCTGCAGGGCTTTTTTTTCCTCATAGAATGCTCAGAAGGCATTCCGCAACCTTTTTTGATGGTTTTTTTCAACTTTTGCATGAGTTGTGCTACTCCCCCTATTGGCTTTCGAAAGCCAATAGGAATTGCTGCTGAGCGAGCCAAAACTCCCGGGCGGCAAACTTTGCATGTGCAAGTTGCAGGAACTTTGCACCCCTCACTGCTACCCAACTACAACATCTCCTACTTAGTTCCGAAGATAGCTGGAGGAGACTGGAGCAGTAAGTTTCTCTTGATCTTCCCTGTTCGGTTCTACATGGGGATGCGCAGGGTGGACAGTGGTGCTGGGGGCGGCTGGGGGGGGTGGCTGCAGGGCCGGAGCTGGCATGGCTGGTGCTTTGCCTTTGTGAGCCGTGGGACCGGCTCTACGGGGATGTGCAGGGTGGGCGGTGGTGCTGGGAGGTGGCTGGGGGGGGCAGCTACAGGGCCAGAGCTGGTGCAGCTGGTGCTTTGCCTTTGCAAGCCACGGGGCCAGCTCTACGGGGATGTGCAGGGTGGGGGGGTGGCTGGGGGGGTGGCTGCAGGGCCGGAGCCGGCATGGCTAGTGTTTTGCCTTTGTGAGCCATGGGGCCGGCTCTATGAGGATGCGCAGGGTGGGCAGAGTTGCTGGGGGGCGGCTGGGGGGGGGCAGCTGCAGGACCAGAGCCGGCGTGGCTGGTGCTTTGCCTTTGTGAGCCATGGGGCCAGTTCTACAGGGATGCGCAGGGTGGGCGGTGGTGCTGGGGGGCAGCTGGGGGGTGGCTGCAGGGCCGGAGCCAGCTTGGCTGGTGCTTTGCGAGCCGTGGGGCCGGCTCTACGGGCATGCGCAGGGTGGGTGGTGGTGCTGGGGGATGGCTTTGGGGTGGCTGCAGGGCCAGAGCTGGCGCAGCTAGTGCCTTGCCTTTACGAGCCGTGGGGCCAGCTCTACAGGGATGTGCAGGGTGGGCAGTGGTGCTGGGGGCGGCTGGGGGGGTGGCTGCAGGGCCGGAGCTGGCACGGCTGGTGCTTTGCCTTTGTGAGCCGCGGGGCCAGCTCTACGGGGATGCGTAGGGTGGGCGGTGGTGCTGGGGGGTGGCTGGGGGGGCAGCTGCAGGGCCCGAGCCGGCACAGCCAGTGCTTTGCCTTTGCAAGCCATGGGGCCAGCTCTACGGGGATGTGCAGGGTGGGGGGTGGCTGGGGGGATGGCTGCAGGGCCGGAGCCAGCATGGCTGGTGCTTTGCCTTTGTGAGCCGCGGGGCCAGCTCTACAGGGATAAGCAGGGTGGGCGGTGGTGCTGGGGGGCAGCTGGGGGGCGGCTGCAGGGCCAGAGCCAGCTTGGCTGGTGCTTTGCGAGCCGTGGGGCCGGCTCTACGGGCATGCGCAGGGTGGGTGGTGGTGCTGGGGGATGGCTGTGGGGTGGCTGCAGGGCCAGAGCCGGCGCAGCTGGTGCTTTGCCTTTATGAGCCATGGGGCCAGCTCTACAGGGATGCGCAGGATGGCAGTGGTGCTGGGGGCGGCTGGGGGGGTGGCTGCAGGGCCGGAGCTGGCATGGCTGGTGCTTTGCCTTTGTGAGTCGTGGGGCCGGCTTTACGGGGATGTGTTAGGGTGGGCGGTGGTGCTGGGGGGCGGCTGGGGGGGCAGCTGCAGGGCCAGAGCCGGCACAGCCAGTGCTTTGCCTTTGCAAGCCACGAGGCCAGCTCTACGGGGATGTGCAGTGTGGGGGATGGCTGGGGGGACGGCTGCAGGGCCGGAGCCGGGATGGCTGGTGCTTTGCCTTTGTGAGTCGTGGGGCCGGCTCTACGGGGATGCGCAGGGTGGGCAGAGTTGCTGGGGGGTGGCTGGGCGGGGCGGCTGCAGGGCTGGAGCCAGCGTGGCTGGTGCTTTGCCTTTGCGAGCCGCGGGGCCAGCTCTACAGTGATGCGCAGGGTGGGCAGTGGTGCTGGGGGGCGGCTGGGGGGCCACTGCAGGGCCGGAGCCAGCTTGACTGGTAATTTGCGAGCCGCGGGCCAGCTCTCCACGGCAGGGCAGCGGTGCTGGCGGGGCGGCTATGGGCGGGGGCACGGCAGGCAGTTGACCTTCCATGGGCTGAACCAGCTGGTGGTCTATGCAGTGCTTACCTGCGCTGCCACCACCTCGCCCTGCGCACCTACATGACTGTTCTGGAGCGCCTGGCTCACAACACCTGCCTCCACCGCCCACCCCCCGCGCAGTCCAGCCGTGTAGATTTTTGGACAAGTAAGAAATCGAGATTGAATGTTGATACTCTAGCTGCAGCATTTGCCGTAAAATTCAATATGAAGGATATTTGTTGTTCAGATATTTCCAATATATTGTTAGAAGATGATACATTGACAAAAAATATTCATTCAATGGAAAAGTATTCATTTAAATAATTAATAGGCATGTAAGCATAATTACAATATAAAATGTTATTGTTACAAATGTTTTTATTATGCATTTATCATATTATAGTGTATTCTGTATTATTGTTGCAATAAATACAATGTTTTATTTATAATATTTTTTTCTTCAATTTATTTGTGTCCTCCTTTTCGTTGTAAAAAAGTTGGTCACCTTAAATATATTATTTATACATCCTATGTATAGGATACAGGATACTTCACTTAAATCATAGGTGAAAATAGTAAGTGAAGGGACAATGGGGAACAAGGTGCAATGTTTAAACATCAAAAGATTTTCTTTTAAATATATTTGAGAATTGAAACAAGACAAATATCTGAAAAAAGGAATTTTCATTATACTGAAATAAAAAGCAACAACAGTTATAGAAACAAATATATGCTTGCAGATACTAATTGTCTCTGTTTGGTAGAGCAGCTTCCCTTACTACAACCACAGAGTCAAGATTTGGACCTTGCAAAAGGAAAATAAACAAAAGATGGCATAATAAAGAGGTATCCTGTCCCCCTCACTCTATCCAGAATGACAGAATACTATACCTTCAGCAATTTTTAAAAGGAAATAACAGCTGTTTGGCATAAGAATAACAGCATGCAAGGATTTCATCCATCCTTACAAAAAAAGGTCTAAATGGCAAATGTTTTCTCATAATTTAATTTTTAGGTCCAAAACTTCAAAACATTTTCATTGTTTGGAATTTACAGAGCATGTCTTATAATTCTTGTCATTCCAATTTGCTGCTTTTATTTTGCCAGTACTGCTTTTTAGAAAAATCTTATTTAGTTTATCGCTACAGCAGCATGACATTGTTTTGAAAATATTCTCCATATGCATTTGCTGTTGCTTCTGAACATCTTCACAACTTTTACCCTTACTATATTAGAGTGTCCCTACCACCACAAAATATTTCATATCTTCATGTCATACTGCATCTTTCCCAAAGCTCTGGTAATATATCTAGGCTCCATCTTGCATGTATACGTTCATAACCATTAAAAGGAATCTAGTGTGCAATCAGAAGAGCTGCTGAGACATGGCTCTAGATGTAATTCCTCTCCCATTTCATCAGGTTCTGTAATTTTCATGTCTTCATCCTCTTTTAGTGTATAATTAGTAAACAGATACTAACAGAGTATGATGTAGTTGTGTTATGTAACTCCATACATGAGGCTTCAACTCAACATCACATTTCTTTCTCTGAGCCATCTGTTTAATGAATGCTATTGTTTCGATCTACTTAGAATTAATATTTTTAAGCCAGCAATGGAGTGGAAATGATTACCTGTATATATTATTCTTTTCCCTTTATCTGTTAGTGGGGAGGCAGAAAACAAAGGGTCTCTTTTTGCCATGTCCCCAGCAGCCTGGCCACAGACTTCAAGGTCACCACTCTGAGTTCTTGGCAGGCTCACCCTTGTTCTCAGTAGGGCAGCAGCTGCTGCCTCCACCTGCCTCACTAGACAGTGCAGACTGGAAGCCAAGCCGCTGTGGCAGAAACTGGCTCTTAGGTGGCATGTTCTACATTATGACATGCTGTCCTTGTGAGCCAATAGTAGTCCTTTATTGGCTTCCTCTAACTGCACAGCAAAGGATCTAAACTCTAGAGCACTTCCATTACTTCTGCTTTTGGAGCTTGTCCATTTCTTCTAAAGCTATCATATTAATTGGTGGTGAAATAACTGTAATGAAAAGAGGCCTCCAAGTTTGTTCATTCCAACAGTGACTCTGAAAGTATCAACAAGAAAATGTGATATTTTGTATTTATCTCCTTTATAAGATTTTTATCTTGTTTTTATCAGCCATGGATTAAAATAATTTTCAGCACACTGTATTGAGTTTTGATGTGGGTTGAGTGGTTTTTACCTATTGTTTGTTCGATAATCCAGCTATCGGAATAATATCTTAGTACAATATGTGAATTCAGCCATTACTTGTTATTCCAGTGTCAGAAAAGGCTTCTGTTCTTCAACATTACACAGGATTTTTACCTGTATGGCAACTTTTACCCACCATGGGACTTACCTCTCAGATACTCTTAACAAACAAACAGTAATCAACCCACTTTCATTTTCCTTTTTTTTCCCCTCAAGAAAAGCAGTAAGGAAGCAGAATAATTCTGCCTTGAAGTATAAGGCTGATCTGGATGTTTCTGTCTGACCTTTCATTCAGTTGATAGGTTCTGGGTCTCACCATCATTTTAAAAAGGGGAGGGGTAAAGTATGCTATTAAGTACAAATTATCAATCCACAGTTTATTTCCAAGAGTGCTAAAATACACTTTCTTAGACAATAGACCCGATGGGCAGCTGCACTACCACCTTATCTGGAAGGGTATCACCCTGCTCCAGAAAAGCAATAAGGCTATGCAAAACTAGTACAGGAAGTCCTGAACGAAGCAGATGGTATTCTGGTAAAGCTGTCTTTTGTCAACTTTTATATCCTCTGGCAGCAAAGATTTTTGTGAAAGTACCTTAATAATATCTTGAAATTTTCAAGTATGCCCACTGTCCTCAAAAAACTCACAGGTTGGCAACCTGCGGCTCCGGATCCAAGTGGCTCCTTGAGTGTTTTGGGTTGTCTACCCCCGGTCTAACTGATACAGTTACACTGCATATTAGACATACAGTGTGCAATTTATTTGTACTTTTATATAATGCATTTTACTTTTGCACTGGCCAAGTACAGAACTTGAATTCAATTTTCAACACTATCTTGAAAGAAACAGTCTTATGATTTGAAGCTGTAAGCCTGTCACATTTAGGATTGATCAGCTACTTCCCAGTCAATCCAGATGTCTTCTAGAGTCTGCATTCAGGATATTGATAAAATATGCATTCTGGCATACTAGCTATGCTGCCTTCTGCCATGATCAGCTGATTTAAACAGGAATAGATTACTGCAAATGAGAATGACCTTTCTTTTTCAACAAGGTCATACAAGTGTTGTATAAAGTGGTGATATTCTTGGCAGAACTGTATGTCTGTAAAATGAATCTGATTTTAATCACAACTGCTTTAGAGCATAATGTAGCCAATTTCATACCCGTAATGGACAATAAGTCACTTGAATGCATCCAAACTGTGTCCATTCCACATTGGTAAAAATTGTATGTGATTAAGATTCATAGTTACAAGAAATTCAGCAGGTAAAATGTATATTAACTGAAACATATATATGCAGATTGTGCACAGAAACAGAAGAAATATTAGAACAGGGGTCCCCAACCCCCGGTCCGTGGACCAGTACCGGCCGCGGCATGCCAGCAACCAGGCCACACAAACAAGCAAAGCCCCATCCACAAGATGCAGGCAGCACATAAAATCACGCACCCTTCGGTCCACAGAAAAACCTCTCTCCACAGAACTGGTCCCTGGTGCCCAAAAGATTGGGGACCTCTGCATTAAAACATATACTCAGTTCGTGCAAGAAGATTGTGCAAACTGATTATAAACAATGAGATAACACAGTCACCAAAATGATCCACTGGAACATCTTAACAATTATCCCGGTAACAAAAAAAAGTGGTGGAATTATATAGTTGAAAATCAGCAGGTTAAAATATTGTGGACTTCTGAATATAACAGATAGACTTGTCAGATTTAATTGTGGCTGAAAAGAAGAAAATATGAATAATTGATATAGCAATACTGGATATAATAGAAGACAAATAATTGTAGAAGATTGTAACATTTCAAGACTGAAGTTGAAAAATCATGGCATAAACCAGATGTGGTGGTCCCAGTGATTATTGGACCATTGGGTGCCATACCCCAAAAATGTTGGATTTTTAGAAAATCTGCAGTGTTAAAATTACTATCTGTCAATTACAAAAGGCCATGCCAATATATTATGATAGTCTAGATTCTTGAACTTTATGCAAATGGAGGCCAACACCAGTGAAAGAACTGGCAGCTGTGATTTCACATGTTGGTATATACAAAATTAATAATAAGTAGGATGTCAGCACTGCCTCCATTCAAATCCTAAGGAAGAAAACCACCAACTCCTTTGATTTAGAGAAGTGGTACTTTTACTAAGAAAGAACTGATAACAGTGAAAGTAGGCAAGATCTGAGGCAAAACCGCACACAAGTTACACATAGCAAATCACCCCAAATCTCTTACCCTGGGGCCTGGCACAAAGTGTCCAATCAACGTCCAATGACATGTTATGGGAAATGGCTCTTCTGCAGGTGTTTCTTGCCTCCTGAGTCCCAGGATGGTTGGCCTTGGAGAAGTGTAAACTAATTCATTCAGCAGTGCCATAGCTCATGAGTAAAAACCTCCCTTCCAATTTCCAGAAGACTCACTCACATACCAGCATACTTCTCACCCTAAATACCTAAACCTCCCCTCCCCATTTCGATGGCAGCTGAGAGCAAGCAAGCTTTGAAAAAATGCTGGAGATCTGGCTGACACAAAAACTGGTGGGACTGCAAAATAGATAAAGTCACAGAAAATGAAGAATCTGAACTGCTCTGGGGCTTTAGAATTCAAACAGACAAGCATCTGCCACATAATACCCCAGACTTAGTAACTGTTAAGAACAAAGGCAAAAAAGTCTGAATAGTGAAGGCTGCAGTTCCTAGAGACAAGAAAATGGGATGGGATGGAGGGAGGGGGAAAGGGGTAGGAGAGGAGGAGAGGGAAGAGAAGGCCACAAAATACGAAGACCTGCAAATAGAATGACTGCAGCAAAGGAAATAAAAGATAGTACTAATAGCAATAGGCACTTTGGGTGCAATCCTAAAACATCTAGAGTGTTGGTAAGGTCCCACCTCACTTTACATCTTAAGAAGACAGAACTCGTGGAATATCTCTTCTAACAGGCATCTTTATTAAGAGAAAATGATTGCAGGCGTTCTAGACAGGATCTGAGGAATTCTCTCCCATCCTTCAATGTTTTAAGTGTTCCCAAGCAGCCCCCCACCCACAGTTCTTCCGGGCAGCGATCCTCATCCTCTCTTTTTCCAGACCCCAGGCGCTGCATTGTTCCCCCCCCCTTTTCCCTTACTGTCAGCAAAAGGGAGACTTCAGAGAGCGAGTAGATGATGGCCATATTGTTATGGTCAGTCCTCTTGGTGAGAATCAACATCCAGTCCTTTTGAAGTTTAATGAAGGAAGTGAGAGCCATAAAACCCCCTGCTCATCCCCCTTCCCCTTCGTAGTATGACAGAATCCAGAGAGAGCAGAAACGGTTTTTTTTCCAGAGTAGGTAGCTAGAAATGAAATATAATTGGATTCTGACATCCTGCCCCCCTTAAAAATAAGAGAGATCCACCTGTAAAGAAAACAAAACAGGTATAAAAGTTAGTCTGGCTTGTTAGGATACTCTGTATGAAACTTCTTTAATAGCTTCAGGGCTCTGACATGACGTTTATGGACCCATTCATTTTGTCAGGCAGGGAGGTGTTTCCATGCTACTAGGTATTGAGTTGCCCCATGATATCTCCTAGAATCTAGACTTTCCTTTATCTCGAAGTGTTGTTCACCTTCCACCATGATTGGAGGTGATGGGGGGGATTTTTGGCCCTAAAAGTGACTGATGTTCTCTTTCCAGCAAACTGCAGTGAAAAATTGGGTGTATTTGCCTAGGATTTTGGGGTAATTCTAATTCTACTGTTACTGGGTTATGATTCTTTTAATTGGAAAAGGCCCTATATATTTTGGTCCAAGTTTTTTACAGGGTTGTAGGGATTTAAGGTATTTTGTAGATAAGAACACCATTTCTCCTATAATGAATGGTGTAGGCTCAACTCATTTTTTATCGTCTTTTGCTTTGTATGCCTGCCTAGCTTCATCTAGTGCTTTTCTAACTATTGGCCAGGTGTTTTGTAATTGTTCCATCCATTCTTTCAGTGGTGGGATCGCCGGTTCATTTGGGGTTAGTTCTGGTATGGGGTTGAAACTTTGATTGGTAGCTATTTGAAAAGGAGTGTAACCTGTGCTGGAGTGGACTGCATTATTGTAGGCCACTTCTGCGAACGGGAGTAGATCCATCCAATCAGACTGTTTGAAATTAAGAAAGCATCTTAAATATTGCTCAAGTACTGAGTTCAAATGTTCCGCTTGTCCATTCCCCTGCAGGTGATTGCTAGATGTCAGTCCCTGAGTGGTCCCTAAGAGGGATAAAAATTCCTTCCAAAATGCAGACATAAATTGCACTCCCCTATTATATATGATGCATTGGGGTGCCCCATGCAATCTGTAAATATGCTGCATGAAAAGTTTCGCTAAGGGCTGCCATAAAGAAGAGGGAATTAAGCTATTTTCCAAAGCACCTGAAGGCAGGACAAGAAGCAACGGTGGAAACTAATCAAGGAGAGAAGCAACCTAGAACTAAGGAGAAACTTCCTGACAGTGAGAACAATTAATCAGTGGAACAGCCTGCCTCCAGAAGCAGTAAATGCTCCAACACTGGAAGTTTTTAAGA